AAGTTTGACATGAGGAAGGCTGAGAACCTCTGTGCTGTCTCCTGGCTTGCAAATACTTTGAGATGATCTTGACATTCCAGTCCTTAGAGAGTCAGTAGAGAGAGTTGTTTCCACTAATGGGTGGGTAATGGCTTCAAAAGTTTCATTTTCTCTCTCTATTTCCAAATCTTCATCAGTTATAAATAATTTTGATTCCCTCCATTTGCTATATAGTTCTTGGCTACTTCTTGAACTACTGGTATCGCTTCCAGAGATCTGTAGATTCAGTTCTTCAGCTGTTGACTGTATAAGGTTTTGTACCGACAGTGATTTTCCTATATCCATTTGTACCATTGGTTTCACAGAGACTAGAGGTTCACTCTCTGTGTCAAGGCTTTTTCTCCATGAAAGATCCTTTGTCACACTGGACTGTGCACTTTGTCCATTATCCTTTGAAGCAACAAGGCAAGTGGTGACATCAGAAGTATTTTCCTGTGTGTTAACAGGAATAAAATTAATAGGCTCCAGCCTCTTGATATGCTTTACTGATGAAAAGGGGGGTATCTGTAATGTAGTGGGTGCTGTTGGTTTAGATGTCTGGTTTATTTGGTTTAGTGCATTATTAGTGGACAGAGTTACGGATCCATCGCTTGGCACCTGTGTGGCTTGACTATGCATAGTTGGACTAAAGGCATAGTAAGCTTGAGTGTTGAATTCATTTGGTGTCAATATAAGCTGTAGGCCACATGGCATGTTGACACTGGCTGATCTGGAAACAGATCCACTAGTCTGAGCAGAATTAGACAAATCTTTACTATCTACAGGACTCTGATAACCAGAGGTTTGATCACATTCAAAAGGCGGCATTTGAAACGAAGCTAAAGTCAATGCAGACACAGATCCTTTCTTCAAGACCTGTTGATAAATATCTAGTAATGAATCTAATTTTGATTCAATAGATTGGACCTAGAGATAGAAGAAAAAAAAATTATTTAGGATCGTTGATGTTCATAAACATCATGCCATTAAAATAACATTTGTAACCTACAGTACATATTTCATCATGTACGATATAGTGATATGCAAATATATATATATATAAAATATATATATTTGCATAACAAAATAATATATTGCAAAGAAAAATTTGAATTTTGTTCAATCATTACATGATTTTTTTTTGCAAAAGATAATTTTTATGAAAAATACATGGTTCAAGTTGTCATTTATTCCAACCAACCCCTAATAAATTATACTAAACTCATGCAAATTCATGAGATATTTCTATGTATTATGTAAAATATGAATTGCAGCCATCCAGATTTATTCTGTGTATATTTCATAATAATAGTACAATGATAAAATTGTGCAAAATGCCACTGACATTTTGGAGTTCACTAAAATAATTTTGTACAGTCATATTATTGTATGAAAAAATGGAAATGAGCTAGCAAATATTAACAATGAATTTTATTCCTAAAATTGTTGTTCAGTAATATAAGGAAGCCTCATGCTCTTTTAAGTTGCATTACCTGTTTTTCCACCTTGACTACACGCCCTAACATGCTGAGGTCATCAGTTGTCTCATTCTCTACAGTATTTTTCTCTCGACTTTTTTTATCAGTGGTAATTTGTCCCCTTCCAAGAATCTGATCAACCCTGCAAGATAATTAAATATAGAAATATGCATAAAATGCTTCAAAAGGCAATAATTTTGGGGCCTAAGTAAAATATATTTGTAATTATTGGGCAAACGTATACTTAGATTTTTATTTAGGGCAAACATGACTATTTTAATACTTTCCATTGTGGTCATTTCTAAATATATGTATGTAATCTAAATAGTTTATCTAAATGTGACCAAAACTAAAAATTTATTTGTTTCTCTGCATACAATAGTCTGTTACAGATGAATTATTGATGTTGTCAGGATTTTTCTCTGAGTATGCTCAGAAGGAACTGCCAAAATCAACTTGCAGCTTTCCAGTGGTCAGAGTTGATAAAGGTTAATTATACTAAAAAAGTTTTATGGACATAAATCAGGTTGTAGGAAAGAAGGGCACAGCAAGGAAAAAGAATAGAAATAGAAATAGAAATAGAAATAGAAATAGAATAGAATAGAATAGAATAGAATAGAATAGAATAGAATAGAATAGAATAGAATAGAATAGAATAGAATAGAATAGAATAGATAAGAACAGAACAGAACAGAACAGAACAGAACAGAACAGAACAGAATTCTTTAGTGGCCAAGTATGATTGGACACACAATGAATTTGTCTCCAGGGCATACCCTCTCAAGTGTACATACAAGCAACAAGTGACAAATCGTGATCATAATAATAAAATACAAACATCATAAATCATAAGATACAACACTCAGTGAAGTCATAGAGTACTAAATAATCAATCAACATAAATCATAATAGATACTTAATAAAAGCAATAACATAAATCATGGGATACAAACAACAAAGTTATAGTCATAAGAACCTAAGGAACTAGGTAATAGGAAAGATGAGAAGGAAAATAGTAATAGTAACACGGCCCTACTAGGTGATTTGACATCCCAGGGCATAAGACAGTGTTGTGGGAATTAGTTGTGATGGCATGGGAGAAAAACCGTCTTTATGCCTTATGGTTGTTTTGGTGTGCAATGCCCTATAGCGTCATCTTGAGGGAAGAAGTTGAAACAATTTATGTCCAGGATGTTACGGCTCTCATGTCCTGGACATAAACAGAATGAAATATATGACTACTATATGAAAAATGAAATATGGAAAAAATCAAGTGTCTTCAAATATATGACTCAATTTATGTGATACTACAAAAGGATTTTACATGATGAGACTCCTTTATAAAAGGACTTTTTGGTCCTCTTACCGAGACTGAAGACTTTTAATTCTACACAGCATATCCAGGTGGCCTGCTGAATACTGTTCAATGACATCTTTGACATCATAGGGACGTAAAGTTTCTTTAAACTTCCTTTTGGCAACGTGAAATTTCATGATTCTATAGAAGCAATATTATCTCAAATCAGTAATTCATCTATCTTTTATACATTTAAAAAGCTGACAATAGTTCATTCTGATGGGGTTACATTCAAAATACCATACACACTGAACCAGATTCTAAATTGGTTAAGAATGCTAATTTTTCTTTGACTGACAACCATGCAAAAAGTATTTAAGATATTAACATCTGTAATTGCTTTGATAATTAATATGCCTGAGCAAACCCTCCAAATAGTTGGCAAGACCTTCCCAATTAACTTAATGAATTTTTCTATGAACATTCTTCCTTGAAGAATGAATGCAGTACTGCTATATCATGAGAGAAAATCATGTAGAGATCTAAAAACTTCTATTCTTACTCATTTTAAATATATCTCAAACCATTCAACCAGATTCTGCAAGGGAAGCTGTGAGAGCCCTGGTCATAAGTCGTGTTTTTTTTCAGCATAAACTTCAAATGATTGCTAAATGAATGGTTGTAAGCTTAGGACTACTTGTACCCTAATAGCTTCACTGATCACATTAGGCATACAAATTGTGAAATGTTACATCCAATCAAATACCTTGCTGCTGTATCCAATCTCACATATACTTTAATTTGCATAAATCTATTCAAAAGGACTATAATCCCTTCTCTCTTTGGGCCTGCCTTTGTCTCCAGCACTATCAAATAAGCCAACGCAAAGTGGCTTGACTCTAATGTTTTTACATGCATCATAATGCTCCTGAAATATTTGTTTGCTAAGATACAGGTAAAGGTTTCCCCTGTCCAATCATGTCTGACTCTAGAGGGGTTATTTCTTAGCCAAGGGAGCCAGTATTGTCTGAAGACACTTCTGTGGTCATGTGGCTAGCATGACTATACAGTATGCCAAGATGCATGGAACACTGTTACCTTCCCACCGAAATGGTACCTGTTTATCTACTCACGCATACTTTTGAATTGCTAGTGGGTAGGAGCTCACCCTGTTGTGTGGTGCTTGGGTCTCGAACCTGGGCTTTCAGCTTTTCAGCTGATAAGCTCCGTGTCTTTAACTGCTAAGCCATCGCTAAGATGTAAGTTTACTTATGGATTGAATTTCTTATTAATCATTAATCATTACTCAAATCCTTATTTAAACTACCAGAATTTTTATTTAATTACTTTTTGCCACTGATTTTTAAAGCTATTCTAAAATAGAGTTCCTGAATATACCTCTCTAAAGCTTTCCCTTTTCAATTTCCACTCATTTAAATAAGAGCAATCTTGAAAGGCTTGGTTGCTTGAATCAGCTTAATAATCGTAGAAAAGGAAAAAGGAGGAAATCAGTCATGACATATATCTCCTCAAGCCTTTTATATTGAGTATAATTATATAAGTGCCTGTTTTATTGATCATGTAAGCAAGGTGGAATTAATTGATAGAACATCCACTATCTTAGCTAATATAATGTATATATATATATAATGTATACATATATATAATGGGGTACATTAATTTTCTCATGGGAAATTGGGACTGTTGTGGAGGGCTGCCACTCAGTCCCGCATGCTGCACTGATATCCGGCCCTCCACTGCTGCCCTGCCTGACGCCACCATCACACCGATGGCCCACCACTGCTGCCACCCCACCAAGCCTTTGCTGTTGCCACTGGCCAGACAGGGATGTGGCTGGATATGGCCTGGGAAGTTGTAAAGTGCCCAGGTCTGATGTATAGTAAATTCATTTATAGTAAATTTCCACATCAGTGAATAAGTGATGTTCAGTACATCATATAACCACATATTCTTAGCAATGGAAGGGAACTTAAAGGTCACGTCTTGTCCAACTCCATTCAGTTCTTTTGTTAATATTATGTGTTTCTGAAAAGTCTTACTTGTAGTGTTAGACTATGCTAATGAGATCAACAGGAGTGCATCTTAAGAGTGCATTTTTCTTACCTGATAGCTCGGATAACTGTTTTAAGTGCTGGAGTTAGATCTTCTACTGATACATCACACTGACATCCTCTTTCATCATATAGGTCATCAGCACCAAGATTGGCCTCAGCTTCAAGAGAAAAAAATTTACATAAACGGTATGTACAGCTACAGAATGCAGATCTATGTTAACAGAGCTAATAATTGCATCAGATGTATATGAAATACAGTAAGGGAAACTAAACCAATGTAATATGAAAGGGTTTCATTACAAACAATAAAGTTGCAGGGACAATCTAGGCATGAAGTCTTAGCCTATCAACCACCTCCAGCAGTGAGCGCCCCTCAGGCTCCAAGCCAAGTGGCGAAAAAGCAAGTTTTAATAATTTTCGAGACGGCCAAAAGGATGGGGGGCAGTTTTCACCTCCAGTGCAGTGTGTGCGAAAGGGCAGGATTGGAAGCACAGCGGAAAAGGCTCTTCTCCTTGACCCCCACTTGCTGGAATCCCTTAGCAGACAGGGTCTGTAGCAGACCTTTTCCACTGGCTCAATTGGGGCAGGTTAGTCCCATTGGGGTGAGATGGTTCCTCAGATACCCTGGACTCAAGCCATATAGGTAAATATATTTTCAAAGATAAAGAACACCTTGAGTTGGACCCAGAAGCAAATTGGTAACCAATGCAATTTGAACAACAATGGTGTTATAGAAACTGCTGCATTTTATATCAGCTGTAACTTCCGACTGCTCTTTAAGGGTAGCTCCATGAAGAGCACATTGCAATAATCCAACCGGGAAATAAAAGGGCATAAGTGACTATGCACAGGTCCTTACAATCCATTAAGGGTGCAAATGGCAGACAAAACAAAGTTGCACAAAGGTCCTCCTGGCCATGACTGCGACCTTCTTTTACAGCAGGAGTAGTGAGTGCATGATAACCCACAGGTTGTATTCTGGGTTTGTTTGGGGTATTGCAACCCCATCCAGAACTAAAGATGATAACTGGATCCTAAGGTCCTTTGCACCCAAAGCTACTTTGTCTTGCCAGGGTTCACCTGAAGCCTGTTGTTCCCCCCATCCAGACCCCTATAGCCTCCAGGCATTGAAAAATGGCAGTCTTGCCTGGATCACGGGGCATGGAGGTATAAAGCTGTGTATGATCAGCATGCTGACATTCCATGTCATGATGTCAGATGATCTCATTCAACATTTTCATGTAGATGTTAAAAAGGTACAGAGACTGTAAGCCCTGTGGTACTCCACAAAGTAGTGGCCATGGGCTGGGCTGCTTGCTCCCTATCAACTGCGATTGGGCCTGGCCCTTGGAGAAAGGGATTGAACCAGCGCAATACTGGGCCACCCAGCCCCAAACCCCTTAGTCAGCTCAAAAGGATACTATGGTCAATGGCATTGAAAGCCGCTAAGAGGTTAAAGGAGATCAAGGATGGATGCACTACCCCCATCATGCTTTCATCAGAGATCATTTACAAATGCAACCTATGATTGATTGATTGATTGATTTATCATGTTTCTAAACTGCCCATATCCCTCAAGAGATGCTGTTTCTGTCCCATAACATGGCCTGAAACCTGACTGGAAGGGGTCCACACATAATCCATTTCATCCAGGACCTTCTGGAGCTACAATGCAACCACTTTTCCCACCAATTTCCCTACCTCATATATGTCACTTTTTAAAAAGGCTGAGATTTTTAAAATAATTTTTATTGAAGTGTAAAATTACAGGTAAGAAACTAATACAAAAGAGAACATAAACAAGAAAAATAGAAAGTGCAAAAGGGAAAAGGAGGGGAAGGGAAAATATATAAAAGGGGGAAAAACATTTCCCTTAATCAAGATGAGTATAAATATTTATAAACTTAATACATTCTCTAATATTTCAACCAAAACTCTCTTCATCCTATAATCTCATCTTTTATCTATTGGCAATAAAACTTTGTCTTTCAATCTTAATAAACAAAAGTCCATTAAGAGCTACCAGAAATATCCATCCATCCATCCATCTATTAAACATAATTATTTCCTTCACTTTACACAATACCATGTCATTTTCTCTAAAACTTTATTCCCATATTTCGTATCTATAAATAAATCTTTAAAATCTCATCATTCAAACTTAATCAAGAAAAATTCCATTAAGAGCTACTAGGGGAAAAAAAACTAATTGAAAATATTAATATTTAATCCCTTCAAATGATATCCCACAAATTAATTTCTTTTCATCTCCTCTCAATTATAATATCATAGTTTATCCCTTTGTCTAAAAATACAAAACTTTCTTCTTCTCATATCTTATCCATAAACAAATCTTTAAAGCCTCATCATTCGGTTCTAGTCAAGAAAAAAAAACATTAAAAGCTTTTAGAAAAGAGAGGATGATACACAATTTAACCTTAATCAAAAAGGCCCACTTTGCACATACCAAAGCTGAAATTTTGAATGCCTGTGATGTTTTGCTGCATAATTACTGTATTGCATAATTAAGCAGCTTTTCAGGCCAGCAGGCACATTTGAAATGTTGAGGAAATGCTTGCGGGCAATTAAAACAAACTGGCTGTGATGCTGTGGAAAAGGTTTGTCTATTCATACAATGATTGCTATAATGGCACTCATGAAAAAACTATTTGACAGAATATGGATGAGGTGGTTCACTAGGTCTGGCTTCAGCCTCAGGAAGCTCTTTACTGCATGGTACACAAGATTACCTTGTCTTTTTTTAAAGTATTTTTATTGCTCGTTAATAATAACACAAAAAGTAATAACAAAAATAATAATAATAAAAAAATAAAAAAACCAAAAAGTGAAAGAAATGCGACAAAGAAATATATACCATATTTTTTGGAGTATAGGACTACCCCCAATCAGCTGTTCCCAGAGGTGAATTTTAGCAACAGGTTCCTTGGTTGTGAGCTCTGTGCCTTGCTTTTTTTTGCTTTTTTTCCTGCCTCTGAAACTTCTGAAACTCCATTTCAGAAAAAACTTTCTTCTCTGCCTTTGAAAGCCTCCGAAAAAGAGCTTCAGAAGAAAAGCCTCTGAAACTCTATTTGGGGGCTTGTTTTCTGAAGCTTCCTTTCTGATGCTTTTTTAGCTTCTGAAACCTCTGTTTGAGAAGCTGGGCGGGGCTACATTCAGAGTATAAGACACACCTAGATTTTCACCCTCTTTTTGGGGGGAAAAGGTGTGTCCTATACTCCGAAAAATACGGTATGTCATTATAATAAGAACAGTGACAATTCTATGTGTATTTGTCTAATGCAAATATTATTCTAATAAGTATATATTTCTAATATGTTTATATGTGTATATGTTTAATACGTTTATATGTCTTTTTTTTAATCAACTGTATTCCATATAAATGAATATAATTTCATTATACTTGTCTGTACAAAGTCTATGTCTATAGGCAATTCATTCATAGGCGACAAGTGCAATTGGATTCTTCAATCCATTAAATAAATGGAGCCATATATTTATCTTTTCAGTGCTGCGCTATCAATCTTTTGGCCATAGTAAGGACACAGAAAATCCAGTTACATCATCCAATTGTCAAATTTCATGAACTATATGATTCAAAAGAATATCATCCTCTGAAAATTTTAGCTTTTGTCTATCTTTGTCTTCATTTTTGGCACTCAATACCCTTCCAAACAAAGCACTGGATTGCTATCCTCCAGTGTGTTTGAAGCTGAAGAAGCTTCTTGGATTAGAAATGAAATGTCTTCAAAGAAAAAACCAGAAAGTCCAGTTGCCTTTTGAAAAAGCACCTTTGGGATAACCATGACCTGGATGACTGAGAATCTCTATAGACCTCCAGTGTATTTATTTTCTAAGATGCATGTGTCCTATGTAGGCATACAAATGGGTGATGTCTTAAGAGAAGACCTTGCTTTTGTAGCCAGACAGTATTTTGATTAAGGTTTTAAAATGTTTAAGGTTTTAAAAGATAAAAACTAAAAATGTACCCTGAGAAGAAACAGGAAGCCTCGGGGCTAGGAAGACATATGACTGCAAGAACATCAATAACCAAGGGCAATAACACCTGCCTTACTTATTGGAGTCCATATGCATGTATAGTACATACATTACTTTTGCAACACCTTGAAACATACTTTTTGAATCATGATTTTTAGTTTGTAAGAACTGAGCTTTGTAATATGTGTTTGAATGTCGCATGTGTTTTTTATCAAGCATTCCGTGCTGTAAATAACACTCTAGCCTATATTCTTAGCACAAGTTATAAATATCGTACACCTTTAAACAATGCTAACAGGAACAGTCAAAGTCAAAGGTGAGTAAGGCAGAATCTTAGCTAGTCATAATCAAGCTTGATGGCACTGCTAAATTTAGCTTAGTGTGAATTTCCATTCCACAATGATGGGCGCAACTGGAAGGGAATATATGAGCTCCCAATTCACTCCTAATAGCTTAGTGAATCATAACTGTTACGATTGTGTTTCAGCTGATTTTTGTTTTTGTAGCTTTTCCTAGGAAGCAGGATTGCTTGTTGTGATGCAGGGCTCAGACTGGCAAGGAAGCTGAGACAGAAGGGATATTTGCAACTTCTTTCAGCTCTACAACTCCATTCTGATTTGCCTAGGACAGGGGTGGGTTCTAAAATTTTTTACTACCGGTTCTGTGGGCGTGGCTTATTTTGTGGGTGTGGCTTGGTGGTCATGTGACAATTATTTAGGTTTTTTTTTTTTTTTTAATTTGATTTATATGCCGCCCTTCTCCGAAGACTCAGGGCGGCTTACAATGTGCTCAGCAATAGCCTTCATCCTTTTGTATATTTATACAAAGTCAGCTTATTGCCCCCACACCTGGGTCCTCAATTTACCTACCTTAGAAAGGATGGAAGGCTGAGTCAACCTTGAGCCTTGGCGAGATTCTAACCCTGCAGTAATTGCAGGCAGCTGGTCTTAATAACCAGCTTAATAACAGGGTGCCTTAAACCCCTGTACTACCAAGGCTCTTAAGGATTTAGCAGAGGTACTAGTCTACCAGGCTTTTAACTGCTTGCAGAGCTGTACCGATCTACCCATTTATTTTTGCAGGCACTGGTCTACTCATGTATTTTGGCAGGCACTGATCTACTCATGTATTTTGGCAGGCACCGGTCTACTCATTTGTTTTCTTTTAAC